TTTCATTTTTAAGATAGATAATAACTAAATTAACTGATTAATAATATTCTAGTATGTACTGAAGTAGATAATGTCATTGATGTTTTGGCTGTGTAGAATATGACAAAGTTTCAAGAATATGACAAAGTTTCAGGAAGAAGATTGTTAGTTAGCTCTTAAAAATACTGCTTGTAAATTAATGTTGGCTTTGATTGAATAATGCAGAAGAAAACAAGGTTTGCAAGAAACCAGGAGCCTCAGAAGGTGTTGTGGATATTGATTCAAACCTAAAAGATCCTCAGTTGTGTGGCTTATATGCTTCAGACATATACAATAATATACGTGTTACTGAGGTTGGTGGTGCAATTTTCATTCACTTAATGCCAATAGCATTGTCATAGTTTTTCGTAAGAGCACTCTAGTTTCATACTGATCACTATTCAATATTATTTTCAGTAAATTTTAATTTGATGATGCTTCTACTTTTTTTGTTTTTCCATCTTTAAAAAGTACAATATAAAACACATGTTACGTATACTATTATCAGATTTAATATTCTCTTGTCAGAAATATCAGGGTTCTTTTGGTTTTACTGAAATACTTTTTCGATCTTTTTTGCGTTTTTGAAAACACTGTTATATCTGTTTTTACTAAGAAGAATGTCTCTTAGCTTACAAGTTTTGCTCTAGCAACAACATAATTGATGCTCATTTCATGAGATTTTCCTCTCCGCAGCTTAACCAAAGACCTTCAACTAATTATATGGAACAATTGCAGCGGATATTACTCCAAGCATGCGAGGAATCTTGATTGACTGGCTGGTGGAGGTAAGTCAATGCAGTTAAGTTATATAAACCCAAATAGTTACTTGCGTCTCCACCTTGAATGCAGGATAAACATTGCAAAGGCTGTTTGTTTGTCCCTAGTACAAGATATTATTATGCAATCCCATTTTCTTGTTTATAAGCAGGGACAAAGTCTGCTGTTTATTATTCTCTCTCCCTCTCCCTCTCTCTCATCTCCCCCCCCCCCCCCCCAAAAAAAAAAAAAAAATCGTATATTTACCAAGTTCTAAATAGAAGGATATTCTGTTTGTACTAGTATTGTATAAAGAGGGTAGCCTTTTTCACTCGCTATTGTTAGTATGAGTTAAATTTTAGGCTATTTGATGTGCTTGCTATTTATAGTTTTTCATCCTGTTACAGGTTTCTGAAGAATATAAGTTAGTCCCAGACACACTTTACCTCACAGTGAGCCTAATTGATCGTTTTCTGTCTCACAACTTTATCGAAAAACAAAGACTCCAGCTACTTGGGGTTGCTTGCATGCTAATTGCCTCGTAAGTCATTTAGTTTGTTTCTGCACTTATTCTTATCAGTAGATAATCACAAACAATAGTAAATGCTGGTCATGATGATGTTAACAACAATAAGGGATCCTCTTTCTCTCTTTCATGAGCAGTCAATTATAGCTTGCATATGCATGCCTGATGCATGCTGATAAATATGGAAAAAATACCTATATCTGTTGAGGTTCATGTATGCACCAAACTTTTGATTGAATTTGGTGATATTTCTAACATTGGTTATTATTATCTTACTCTTTCTCTAAGGATTCTGACTGCTTTTTTTTTTATGGTTTGAAGAAAGTATGAAGAGATCTGTGCACCTCGAGTGGAAGAATTTTGCTTCATCACTGATAATACCTACACAAAAGGAGAGGTATGATAGTTTAGGTGTATACATTGCAGTTGATGACTCTGCTAGAGTCATAACTTCAGCAGAGTCATTGACTTGTGCGTTTGCCATCATTCTAAGCTTCTCAATCCATATGCATTCTGGACTTCTAGGCTTCCCTTGACTCCCATTAAATCAAACCTCTTGACACCCCTTTCAGCCCTTTAGTTTTTATAGTGCACAACCAAAATAGTTAATACTTTCATTTTTGGGTGCTGCTTGGATCTTCTTAAATAGATATTCAGAACATCTTTATAGTTCTGTAACTTTTGGGCATTTGCATTGAAGTTCAAACTATAAGGGTTGCATGATGGATGAAATTTGCCAAATGGACTCTGTATTTCAGTTGCAGGAAATAGTAGAATAACTTGTGACTTACTAAAGAAACAGCATAAGTAAACCCAAACTAAAAGAGTAACTTTTGCATAGCTGACCTCATGTGAGATAACAATTACCCTGACAATAAAATCTTCCTACAAAATTAAGCAAATTGCTTAGGATTTTTGTTTATTAAGCAACCACATGTAGCTTCTCATTCACAAAGAAAATACTTGTTTCCAATGCAGAATCAGAGGCAATTTGAATACCTCATTGTACATTATGTTCCTGAGTTACAGGGATAGAAAATTTTAGTTAGGTAAAGTTTTTTCATAACAAGGTGGAACTTATTAATGAATACTCCCAGAGGAACTTGCCTTAATGAAAAGCTAACTACTTGTGAGGTCTATTCCTCATGTAAGTTTCACTCCATAAGGCCTCCTAGCAAATTCTGGCTAACTCTCAACACATTTGTTAGTCACAATAACACTTTGATTGATTCATGATGTTAAAAATCAAAGCCAACTCTGGTCGATAATTTGGATTGAGTTTTTCCAAAGCACTTGATAAGGAATTTTCCAACATTATGAAATCCCCTTTGAGACAATAATGTTTGTTAACATGTGCTGTTATACAAGGTTCCTGATTCTAGTTACATGACAGGTGTTGAAAATGGAGAGCAAAGTTCTGAATTTCTTGTGCTTTCAGTTATCTGTTCCAACCACAAAATCATTCCTCAGGTAATTGACACCATCTTCTAAACTATGCTTTAAAAGCCATCAAATAGTCAAGAAACTAATCATTTGACACCTAATTTTTGTTTCTCAGGAGATTCATTCAAGCAGCACAAGCAACTTATAAGGTACTTTCTCAGAATCACTGTCTACATTTTTCAATAAAATCAATTCAATATTAAAAAAAAAAAAGACGACTGATTTGCACTTCAATTACCTTGATGTACAGGTTCCTCGTATGGAACTGGAGTTCTTAGCAAATTATTTAGCAGAGCTGACTCTTCTTGAGTACAATTTCTTAAAGTTGTTTCCTTCACTTATTGCTGCATCTGCTGTATTCCTTGCCAGATGGACACTAAATCAATCAGACCATCCATGGGTCTGTAATCCTTGCACCCTCCTTCAGTTTCACTTTTTCTTTTCTTTTTTTTTATAATTAGAAACTATCTCTGAAGGATACATTTCCCATATGATTTTAGCAGAATCCAACCCTGGAGCATTATACTAGTTATAAGGCATCAGAGCTAAAAACTACAGTACTTGCACTGGAAGACTTGCAGCTCAACACTAATGGTTGCTCCCTGAATGCTATACGTGAGAAGTACAGACAACAGAAGGTAAATTATAGATTGATAAAACATTAACTTCGTAGCATTTTAAGACCAATTTAACTAAATAACATATTCCCATGACACCAACAAAATAGACTTAAGACATGAGGGCCTGTCTGACAGACAGCCACATGTCTTTATGTCTTTGAGTATATGACTCAATGATATCTCTTGCTTAAAAAGGTAAAGATTGAATCTCTCCTTTTCGAGTTAAAAAAAAAAAAAAAACAGGCTTGGTAATGGATTTATGTTTGAAAGACAGGAGTTTCTGATAAAACTGAATTTTCCTTTTGCTTTCTGTTACCATGACAGTTCAAATGCGTAGCAACGATGACATCCCCAGCAAGTGTTGTATCACTTTTCTCAAGATGAAGGGAAAGCTGATTTGTCCTCTAAACCATGACAGTCCATGTCCATTCCCCTCCTTGGAGAATGAATCTGATTCCCAAATCTTAAAAAGGTTTTTTTTACATTTTTAGTTATTTCGTATCTTTTTCTTTTCTTTTCCTTTTAAATTGTCCAATTCAATCTTCTTCTATCATTGTTGTAACATGTTGTCAGGTTCTGGTGCTTCCAGAACAACTTCACTGTAACCTTGTAATCACATTTTGGACCGTCGATGGTACATGCCTCGGAGGCAGAAAATAATCTTTTAGAACTTCCTTTTTCCGATGGGAATTGGGATGTCCTAACCACCACATGTAGAATCTTTTTTATTGGCTAGGTTGCAAATTTGTACTTAATTTCAACATGACTCGCTGTATCTAAGACTCCCAAAAAACAAAAAGAAAAAAAGAGAAAAAAGAATGGCTTCTTTTGCCCATCTCCAATGCTTTTTGACTTATTTCTTCTAAATGGTAATCCATTGTTTTTTTGGCCAAATCTTGAATTGTAATCCACGTTTCCTTCTTTGATCGAAAAGCAGAAAATGGATTCTGTGTTTCAACTAACCCTCACCTCCCTAGATGTTAACTAATTACGACGTCCATACAGACTCACCACTAATTAAAACCTAAATGATGATGAGTTCGAAAGGTCCATCTCGTGATGCGTGTGGGTTACGGTTCATACTAAAATTATTATTTAAGGATAAAAAGCCAGGGGAATGGCTCTGAGGGTACTGGGGAGTAAAGAGTGGATGATAGCCACTCTCTAATACTATTGTATGCTAGGATTAGACAAGGAATCTTAGAATCGATGGGCATTGGCTGGACCTCAGATGTGTTTTCAACGTCAAGTATTATCATCATCCTCAACGAAAAGCATAAAACCAATAGGAACAAGACAAAATGATTTTTCAGGAACCATCAGTGTCTGAAACTATAGCCACAAGGCACCGTCCTATTGGCGTCGTGACCCCACAACCACCACTTGATCGATGTCTATGACAGTGAAGCAAAGGGAGGAATGAATCAAATGAGTTTATAATAATCCAAGCAGGTGAGGGTTTGGTTTTATTTCCTTGAAACAGCAACATTTGATTTAGACTCTTTAACTCTATGATACTATATTAAACTGATGCCGATGCTACATATGAGCCAAACTTAAAAGAAAAATACCGGTACAAGAAGGTGATGGAGTTGTGCGTGATAAGGGGAGAGAGAAAGAGAGAGTAAACAAGATTAGGTGATACATAAACTTGTATAATCCACTGCATGGTCCTTCCCATTACGTTTCCCAGGAAGCAATTAACATCCCACACAGTAGCATTTGGAGAATACAGAAAACAAGTTACAAGAAAAGGCTGCCAATGGAACATCCAAAAAAATCCCACCACCCCCTAACAGCAGCCATTTGCATACATTTTCCCATCATTATAAAAGGTGGGAAAGAGGAAAAATCAAAAACCTCAGGACAACAACAACTCAGGAAAGCCACTTAACAGGCGATTGACGTTGCCAAAGGAGTTACCAGAACAGCAGTATTTCCAGTTATTGGCTGGAGACTGGCTGCATTTTCTAGTCGCTCCCATGCTTCCTTTCGTTTCTCAGCTAATATGCTTAGGTTTGCCTCTTCCTCCATAAAGTGAGTGTGGCAGGACATAAACAGTACATCATCCATCTCCATGAAAATCTTTCTGACATTAAGAGTTAAGTTAAGCACTGCTTGGTTCCAATGGTTCTGGGCATTCTTTTCTAAGAATGGAAGTATGACGGGCAAAATCACATGCCGATTATGTGCAATTAAGTTTACAATTTGATCATTATTCCAAAAGAAAAGTGCCCTTTCAGCCACCTGAAACAAGCAGATTAATCAAAATAAAACTTATAATCATCTTTCCAAATCTTAGTTTAATTAGATCAATTAAGTGAAATCACTGATATCTCATGATGAGTATAAAAACCATACAAGGAAAGGAGGCCAAGAAAAGCATCTTTCAGAATAAGAAAAAGAAAACAAAGAAAGAATAAAAAAAAGGCATCACCCAACTAAAACAACAGTTAAACACTGGACCTGGGAAGAAGCTTGTGGAATTTAGTCCACTGCAAAAATCTTCCAAGGTGAGGGCAGCCTTTCATTGCAGTAAATTTACATCCTTATTGTAAAATGAGGAAATTTACTCTAGTCACAGAAGGCTACCAACCCCCATTAACACAGTTGATATAGAACTTCTAGTCAATAATTGTTCGGTTGGTTGCATTAGATAGACAACTCTAATGTTGCAAACTAAAGACAACTAGCTCACAGGTTGTGAGATACAATGTTTACTGACTTTCATGTCGCATATTTATAAACCAACACTCTGGCATTAATAGCTGAAGATTTAACAGCAGAACCATAACATTTGCAACCCTCGTTAAGACATCAGGAAGTCCCCCACAAACCGAGGCCAGACCCCAAATTGGCCTGAGTAAGATGGAGATGCAAGTAAGCTTATTCACATTAAAGCCAACCATGAGGCTGCCAACCCCCAGTTTAGACATTATATAAGTCAACAAATCAGGGCCAACCCCCAAGTTGTCCAAAGTTATGCTAACTTCTGGTGCGTGGGCTTAGCTTATTCTAATTTCCATTCCTAGAAAGCAACAGCTTCTGCCCAGGTATAATCCATGGCATTATATCAGGTATAGTAAAGGATGGAAAAAAGGCAGCATAAGAAGTTGAAATGCACCCAAGCAAGGCATTAAAAGCAAATAAATTTAACATGCATAAAAAATCACAGGAAACATTTCATACAATTGAAGATAGTCTACTCATTATGTTTCTTAGCAAGTTAAATGATACATCTTTTAAATGCGATATGGTAGAAAGTTTGAAAATGGAAAAGAGTGAAATAGAAGGTGCAGAGCATGACGCAAAATTTGTCAAAAAAGAGAATCCAAGTCAATGCACCACCTTGGTGAAAAGGAAGATAAGAACATACTAAGTATGACATGACTAATTGAAGAAAAGCACACAGGCTATCGTCAGTAAATATGATGTAACAAGAATATACCGAGCTACATGGAAAAAAAATACCTGGAAGTGGAAACTGTTGATGCAACAGCCAATCCGCCAGAACAATGGGACCATAACCCTTTGGAATTCCACCATATTAATTGCTTCCAAAATCTCTTCCAACTCACCAAGAAACATCACCTCCTTCTGGCTGTTTGTTATGGGCCAGTACTTCAGCAACCCCCTTATCACTGTACTGGACAACTTGGGTTCCTTCTCAATGAACTGCGTAACACAATAGGACAGTTGTTGAAAGTAAACTCCCAAAGTTTTCGGCTTGTGCAGAGGAATCAAAACCCTCCACAAGAAGATCTTATGCTCCTCCTTCAAAGGCAAAGCAAACCCACTGATTATACTCCCAAAAATCTCCAACAACTCCGCGATCCCATTATGTCTCTCCGTCTCAAAAACAAACCGATAGAATATATTGCTAATAGCCTTCCGAATAAACGGCCTATGAACCATAAACTTCCCATAAACCCTATGCAATATGGTCTTCAAACACTCCCTTTCCCTTGGATCCTCCGAATCAAACAAGTCAAGCAATCTCAAAATAAAGGAATGATCTATATACTTTTTTGCTAGTTTTGCATCAAGACACGAAGAAGTGATAAACTTAAGCAGCAAATCATACACAATTTGCAAATGTGGCCAAGCTGGATCAAACATTGGCTCATCATCATCATTTTCACCACCATTACTTACACTAGACCGATAATTAGGCGGGAAAACTCTGAACAAGTTCACAGCACACATCCGACACATCGCTAAAATCGCGGGTTCGCTAAATCTAACAGACCCAGATGCCACAAAATCCAACAACTCAAGCAAGGTTTGTCTTTTAACATCTTTTTCAATTGAACTTTTAGCTGGGTCAGTGAAATCGAAAGTTACACAACAAAGGCTAACTTTACTCACGAAAAGATTCATTTTTTCCGAATTCGGCACGTCTTTGAATGGCAACAACGGCTCGATTCCTGCCACAACACTCGCCGGGAAAACGGCTGAGGATGTCCGTTTTGCAGCGCAGGGCCGGACAGAGCCCGAGTTCAAACTGTTGGATCGATGAGTTTGTGGGGTTGACCCAGCTGTCGTGCATGAGTTTGACCGAGCTAGCTCCGGCGAGTCCGGTTTCCCGGATTTTCGTGGGAGTTTACTGAGGAATTGCCTTAGCATTGTAGATTTTCTGAGGGATAAAATTTAAAAACAAAAGAAAACCTTGAATTTAGGACCAAGGGCTCTTAAATTGAAAACAGCCACATTGTCCGGAGACTGATTCGATAAATTAATAAAAAGAGACAGGAAACAAAGAAGGAAACCCTAACCCTAGATTTTGTTGATAGATCTGGGAGAGACAGGAACGTGTTTAGATCGAAGCCCAAAGCAGAGAAAGAGGTTCTTCAAGACTGGTGAAAAGGGGAAACCATTTTCAATGACAAACATTTTGCTTTCAAAATTAATGGAAACAATGTTCACAAATATCAATCCAAAACCAAAAAACCGAAAAAAAAAGTAAAAAAAGAGGCAGAGAAATAATGTTAGATGATGAATCAGAATCTCATTATTCCTAGAGAAAAGAGGGAATTGATTGCAAAGTTATGTACGAATCTTTGATACTGAGAGAGAAAGATCCACCCCAGAGATTTCTAGAGAAAAAAGTGAGAGAGTGGAAGATGTGTGTTTGGACAGAGAGAAAGAGAAAAGAAAATGAGGCTAAAGAGAAAGCTTGTCATTGTCGTCGTCGTCGTCGTCCTTGATTATTTTTTATGGTGGAAATCTAGCTAACTGTCAAGGTCGAGTTTTTTTTTTTTTTTTTGGAATCTCTGTTGTTGTTGAAGAAAAAGAAACAGAAGGACAGAGAATTTATTTTTCTCGGTTGATGAGAAAATTGTGGGATTTTCTCGGAAAATGCAGGCATGCGCCTTTTTTCAAAAAATAAAAAAATAAAAATACCTAAGAGAAAGTACAATTATTTTCTCACTTTTGTTTTTGTTTGCTTATGTATGCTCTGGTTTGGTGCACGTTGATAAGATGGTGACACGTGGTTTCAACCGTTGGATCATGATTGGTTCTATTTGATGACGTTAGTAATTACTCTCTGACGGTAGCGGAACTTACAAAGGAAACGATTGAAGTGTTAAATAGTGATATTGCGTTTAAACTCGACAGCTGCAGTGCCTCCCAACATTCCAATTCCCACATTATCAATGCTTGATTGGTGAAGGACAATCAGACTGCAATGAAACTGAGTCAATCGGCAAAGTTTAGACGTGCTCGACTCGGACTCACCAACCCAACCAGAGGCGAGGGAGAGAGGTGGCGGGGAGCCTCAATTTTTAATTTTTTTATTTTTATATATATATAAATCAAAATAAATAATTTTGTCATTTTTAAATAAATCAAAAGAATTTTTTTAGAGTAATCAATTCTTAAATTTTGAAATTAATTTTTTTGCTTAAAGTAGGGGAGTTATGCCTCTTAATGTCAAAAAAAGAAAAATCAATTATTAAATTTTGAAATTATTTTTCTTTTCTATTTTTCTTTTATTTTTTCAGCTTAAATTTTGGAATTATAAATGTTTTAATTTTTTAATACCTACGTCAGTTAATGTCATCATTTCTTATATTATTTAACACGATTTATCTTAACTCGTTTAATTTCTATAATAATTACAAAATATACATTTTTAATAAAAAAAATTACAGAGACGACGTTACATAAAAAAATGAAAAATTAATTTTTTGCTAATTCATTTTATAGATATTATCAAAATCATTATACAATTTTAGTTATAGATGAATTGAAAAGCATGAAAGTATGTTAAGTACAGTTTACGATATTTAATATAAAAATTTAATATTAATTTTTTTATTTTTTATTTTGATAAATTTAAAAATTTATATTTAAATTATTAATAAAATGTTATATTATAATTTATTATAATTTAAAAATTAATTAATTTTTTTATTTCAAATATAATCTAATCTAATCTATAATCTTCGTATAAAATTTTAAATTCGTCACTTAATTTAACGCCTTACCATCTTATACAATGCACTTGCTCGCTTCTGCCACTCGAGGATGCCATCATAATAAAAAAAACAACAGCAGCTCTACCATTTCTTCTTCACTCCTTATGAACAAACTTGTGTTCTTGGAATATTTTCCTCTAATAACGTCTCCCCATATAAAGAGTGTTGATTGTAACAACTCTCCATCCATGCTTGGCCACCAGAGCTTTATTAAAGGCATCCACTTTTTCTAAATCCAAGCCCATGCTCCAGTTTTAGCTTGCTTCAAACATTCCAATTTGACCACTGAAACCTCCTTTTCTCATCCAAACTTCCCCATCACAAATCCCTGGTTTCCTTTTTCAAAGCTTTCTAAAGTATACTTTGATAATAGAAAATAGCCTATTTGCATAGGTTGGGATTGCTTGTGTTGTTGTTATAATTAATATCTCTTTTCGTGTTGGGTAAAGAAATCCATCCATCCGTCCATGCTTCTACATGATCCTTTCTCCTTTCTTCAACTTCCATTGAAAATCTATTCTTCAAAATTTCCAACACTTTTACTTTACAATTTTTATGAATAAAAATCTTAATTTGTCATATTTCATCACTTGCCTGGTAACAACCAATAGCAATCCAAAAATTGATGGATCTTTCAAAATTAATTGGTAAAGCTTCAGGATCATCTTAAAAAAAAGGTAAATGAAGAATGAAAGGTCCACTTCTTCTATAGTACCTCCATACAAATTCCCTTCTCGTTGAGTATAAAGTAAAGCAATTGAAAAAGCTTGGTCACAAATAATAAATAGGTACGCTAATAGAGGATCACCTTGTCGAAGACCACGTGAAAGGTCAGATTTATTGGACGGTGATCTATTGATAAGAATTGCAAATGACATTAAATATAGACAATTATGCTCACTCTTAGTTATGAAAAATAAATATTTAAAAATTGATATAATATCTAATTTTTTTTTAAATTATATAAAAAATATAAATAAATTTTTATTCTTATATTATCTTCTATTAAATACTTATATTTTTATTTTGGATCAAATAAGTTATTATAACTTATAGTTAATTAATCTTTGTTAGTCGATTTATTATTTATCAATTTTATATCATGTAATGTTAATGTGATATTTTGATATGTCATAATAGATGATAACGTGATATATATAAGTCGTATGATGATATGACATTTTTACTTTTTACATTAGCACTACTTTATCATCATATGATATAAAAATAGTAAGTGTCATTTTGATTAATGGTAATTAATCAATAATTAGTTATATTCAAAATAATATAATAAAGATTTATTTAAAATTTTTTAAATATTAAATTTTATATATTCTTTTAGTACAATGTTATACTTTTTATATAATTTTTTCCATTTTAATAGTAATCAAACAATCATGTTATTAATGATATCAAATTGTCTTTTGTTTTAAGATTTGAAAAAGTTCTTAAATTATTTAGGTAAATTCAGATGAATTTTTATACTTTTATTATATTTAATCAATATCTTACATTTTTATTTTGAGCCACATAGATCATAATATTTTTATTTTAAGTCAAATAAACTCTTTATGACTAGTGATTAATTTAGTTAAAATATAATTTATCATTTTATGCTGCATGACATTAACATTAACATATCATTGATGATAATATCACATGTCAACATATCATAATTAATGATATCACGATATGTTAATTTGATATGATAACATATTCATGTAGTATTTTTCACTTTACATATCAATATTATATCAGTGTCATATGGATATTAAATAACAAGTAATTTTTTGACTAATGATAATTAATTAATTATTAATTATAAAAATTTATTTGATAAAAATAAAAATACAAAAACTTAATTAAATATAATAAAAAATAAACTAATTTAAAATTTCTTCAATAATTTAAAAGTTTGTTTGGGGAGTATACCTGTTGTTATTCTATTTACTCACATTATTTCTTACAAATATTTTGTTTTGGGAAAGTATGACAGATATAAGGGCAAATGAAAATTCAAAATTTAGATTTTAATCCTCCTAGAGAGGATAAAAGTTGTTAATTCAAACTTAAATTCAAATCTTCTTTTAATTATTTATTTTATATGCGAAAAGCTTACTCAATTCAAAGGAAACAAAATTAGTAATTGTTTTTCTTTTAAATACCGGCACTGAATTGCTTAGAAATTATTATAAGATAAATAATAATAATATACAAAAACCCATAAAAGAAGTACCACAAAATCAAAAGCAAAATAAAGAACAAGTAGAGTAGCGAACAAGCAAAAGAAGGAGAGGGCAAATGGGAGGAAGGACAAGATTTGAAAATTGCGGGTGTGTCGCTTTTTCCAACGGCGACCCGTTACAGCTAGCGATCCTCTAAAGCCACATACAAGCATACGTGGCAAATGGGAGAAAATCCAGCAACAGGGCAACCAGACGGAGGGGAAAAATCCAAAGGAGTTAAAAAAAAGTAAAAGAAAGGCAACAAAAGCGTTTGAATTTTCAAAGATGAAAAAAACCAAAGATCGTGAGGGTAGGAGTAGTATATTATAGTATTATTATTCCTGGGTAACCCACCCAAGCAAATGACGGAGGTCCAGTGCTGATGCTTTACTGTTATCTCCCAAGAAAGAAAGAAAAACCCAAGGAACAAAATTCACACGCGCTCTCACACGACAAACCTTCAGAAAGGGAAAATTAGATGAAAAAAACAAACCAAAAAAAAAAAAAAGCAAAGCAGCAGCTCAATCACTCTGTAAACGTCACCGTTTTCAGCTTCTCCGGTTACTTCTCAGCTCTGACAGTCTCTAATCGGTTCTTGTCAGTTCAATCCTTTCTGGTACGATCCTCTCCCTCTCTCTCTCTCTGTGCCCCTGTGTGTTTACTTTTTGTTCGCTTATGTATGTTATATTTTGATGGCAAATATCATTTGCGGTTTTTGCTTTTTGTTGGTGTCTTTATAGATTGAATTTTGTATTTTGGGAGGTTCATTGAGTGAGAATTAATGCTTTTTTTCTTTTTGTTTTTGTTTTAAATTTTTTGGTGGGTTTGATCTTTTTTAAACGTTAGTCAACGCTTGCGATTTTTGCGGCTCAAGAGATATCGAATTTTTTTCTTCATCGAGCAACTGAATGTTTAGGTGTAAGGTGCAGGGGTAATGCTTCGATCTTAGGGTGTCGCTACTGGTTTTAATTTTAATGGATTATTTGATTCGAAATTTTATCTGGATATTAATAGTATTTCTCGAGTTGGGTTGAAGAAGAAATCAAGTGAAAGAAATGAGAGTAATAAGAAATTTTCTGCAGCTACTCTGTTATTCTTTATTTTTATTTTGGGGGGGTGGGGGCGGCTGTGTTGAGGTAGTGAAGGATGGTGTTCATTATGGTGAAAAGTTTAGTTTTTGAAACAATATTAATCTCCTTTTCTTCTAAGAGTGAAGCTGCTATCTTTGTTTGTTGGTTAAGATTTGTCAAGAACTTGAATTGGATTTTCCCCCATCCTTTTTTTGAGCTGAAATTTCTAGAGAGCATTGGAGATGTATAGGTTAAGCCTGAATTCCACCCTTAAATTTCTTATATATCCTATGAATGTCGAAGTTCATTGCTTGGTTGAGGGGAATGGGGAGTGTTTAATTCTTTTAGAAATAAAAGAAGAAGGGAGATGCAATGATTTAAGGCAGATCCAACGGGGCTGTAATTGTGCTGGTGTGCAGTTTGAGGGTTACCATATGAGAGTGTAAAGGATTTGGGATATGAGAAATAATGAATCTAAAAATTCTTGATTATTTCAGTTTTATTCTGCTGCTAGTTGATTTCTTGTTGTCTGTCTGTTCAATTTAGTGCTGGAAAGGTAACCTGTCAATTATTCTCATGTTACTTGTCATTGTCCATTTATATCTCAGAAACTATATTTAGGTCATAAATATTTCTTTTGTCAATTATTAATTTAGTTTTTAAAGCACAATGGAGCCAAGCCCTTTCATTAGTTCACTTGGTGGGGATTTAGCTTATCTAGGTTTTGTGGGTTCTTATTACAAAAATCAGTTAGTTCAACATGTCTTTTACCTTTTCAGTTTCATTTATGCTTATCAACTATTTTATATTCATGTCCTTAAGTGGGAGAAGATGTTGTTCTTTTTATTCTGATTTAGTTGCATTTTCATTCTTAAAGGAACAGGAATTGTAAATTTATCCACATCTTGTGGTGCCAAATAATTTAAGTCGATCATCAGAACTTGACAAATATCAGGGACAAAAGTGCCCATTGTTTCAGCACAGTTAAGAAGTACATAAAGCTGGTAACCTTGTGTTAGGTTTCTATGCTTTCGTCATTTCCAGTTGTGTTGGTGAACTTAGATGGATGTTCCCTCTTTGGAACTGCATTCTGATAATCGAACTGACACTTGTCCATTGTTAATGGAGCGATCAGAGAACTTTAGTGAACATATTATTGACATACCAAGGAATGGTGATACTTCCTCATCAAACTTGTCTCATGATAGAACTTCGAATGGGTTGGATGTTTTGCAGCGTGAAGACAGACCTTCTGGTAGTGCAAGAGTACTAGGTTCTCAGCCTTCATCATCTTCTTCCAATGGTACAAACTCAAGACCCTCCTCTGCTGTAAGGAGAGGGGATGCCCGTCGTCGAAGGAGTCCATTGAATTCTGGTTTGTGGATTTCTATTGAACTAGTTCTTACTGTGAGCCAAATTGTAGCGTCTATTGTTGTCTTGGCTTTGTCAAGGAATGAGCATCCCCATGCACCGCTGTTTGCTTGGATTGTGGGTTATGCATCTGGATGCATAGCAACCCTCCCTCTTCTTTATTGGCGTTATCGTCATCGTAACCAGGCTTCTGAGCAAGACCCAGTTCAACATCATCACACTTCACACATTAATGTCCCTGCTGGACCCTTTTCTCTCTCTGTCACAAGGACTTCTGATGGGGGTGATCATCGTCCTGCAACTATGTCTCCTAGAGGTGGTCATAATGCAGGAGTAACAAGTGCAAGGTATGATTTTCTTATTGTTATTTGAAATGAGAAAAAAAGATAAGCAGAGAATAAGAGACATTTTCAAGTTCTGTGTTTTTGGTGCACTGATTGCTTCCATGAGTTGCTATGCAGATATGGTATATTTGACCATTTGACCTCCCATTGTGTTAAAGTTGTTTTTACGTTTTTTTTTTTGGGTCAAATGCTGCTGAAATTTGACAAAGAGTCTTGCGTAGTTGATGGCTATAATGGCCTGTAGCCTTTAGTTGACAATCAGCTGATTCTTATCTTGCAGAATTAAAGCACTAGTGGAATACTTCAAAATGGCTTTAGATTGCTTCTTTGCTGTTTGGTTTGTGGTTGGCAATGTTTGGATATTTGGTGGGCGTTCATCTGCCAGTGAGGCTCCTAACATGTACAGGTACTGGCCACTGCCTAGTGGCATGGGTTGCATTTACTGCTTTTAGTTTGCACCTTTTCTAAGAGTTCATCCTCTTTTTTATCTTCTTTCTTTGCAGGCTATGTATAGTTTTTCTTACATTTAGCTGTATTGGGTATGCTATGCCCTTCATTCTATGTGCTACAATCTGCTGTTGCCTGCCTTGTATTATTTCCGTCCTTGGATTTAGAGAGGATCTATCACAGGCCAGAGGGGCCACGCCCGAATCAATAGATGCTTTACCAACTTACAAGTTCAAGGTGAAGAAAAGTAGAAATGGAGATGATAGGGAAATCGTCTCAGGTGCTGGTGAGGGTGGGGTTGTGGCTGCAGGAACAGAAAAGGAACGTGTCATCTCTGGAGAAGATGCAGTGAGTGTTTCTTGATTTCTTAATGGATTCATATTCAGATCCTTTACACTGATCCTCCATGATGTGTTGATTATTGTTTTGATAATATAACGGCATGTCTCATAGTCTAGTTAATAAGAAGTACAAATCTCTTTGCACATTTTGAGTTGATATTCATAATTCCAGGTGTCATAAGCAATATCTTTACTTGTGCAATTATAGTTAACGTGCTCATTATATTATTGTTATGTTACTGTTTTGTTCCTTTGATAATCAGCTATTTAAACGCATTATATCATTTGGATTCAGAACCTGCTTGACTTTGTCCTTTGCTATTATCCTTAACTACCTGAGCTGGATGACCAATAGGCCTATGCTCACTCCGTGATTTACTGTAAAGGCTCAATTAAAGATGTGATGGCATTCCACACTACTAAAATTTACTCGGGAATGATTAAGGGGGCCTTATAAGTTGCTGGTTTGTTCCTCTTAATGTTTTGTTCTTCCTGTACATACTGATACGATGGCACTGTTTGGATCTTGTATAGGTGTGCTGCATTTGTTTGGCAAAATATGCAAATAATGATGAGCTGAGGGAGTTGCCATGTTCTCATTTTATGCACAAGGAATGTGTGGACAAGTGGCTTAAGATCAATGCTTCCTGTCCTCTTTGCAAGAGTGAGGTTGGTGAGAACATTTTGGATGCCATCTCTGGGACAAGTGCCAGCATCTTGAGTTCACTCTCTGGAACGCACGATAACCAACGACGAGGTGAGAGAAGGGTGGGCAACAGTTATACCAGCACTGTGTTTTAATGTAATAAAAAGATATATAAATATATTGATCCTGTGGAATTATATTTGTATGACCAGCTGCATACAGTTTGATGATCTTTCTTCTTATGTGTTGGGTGGTCGTCCCTTCCATTCTTTATGGTTGTCTTACGGGGTGAGATGTAGCTTGTTAGACACACACACGGCAATTCTCCAATTACCAAACATGATGTAGCCAGATTGTGCAATGTCACCATCAATCAAAAGAGCCATGTAAAATTTATTGCTATGTCGCCAATCAGAGTGGAAAATGATTTGCTATGTAATTGCACATACAGTTATATAAATAATAGAGATTTTGCAAAATTTGCAAAGAATTTTAGGTTTTTGCCTGCAAAATCATTTGTACTGGGGACTTCAAAGCAATGAATGAAGAAAAACTTTTCTGACTTTTCCTCAAGCTGTCCCTTCCTTTGAAAATGGGTCTATGTTTCCTTGTGATCTACATCAATTGCATTACTCCTTATTTGATAGAATATCTGTATTTAATAAATATCTAATTAAATTTTGAAATTCTTGTACCAACTCATATTTGAATATCTTAAAAATTATACATTAAATACTTGTACATATTAAATGCTCGATTAAAATTAATTTTTTTGGTCTATTATTAAAAAAATTAAAATTAATTCATAAAAAAGTAAATTAAAGTTTAAAATTATAGTGATAACAATTAATGAATATTAATAAATATCGCATTAATTATAAGAAATTTATGAACAAAAAATGATATATAGCTAAAATTTAATATTAAAATCAGAATTGGGTAGTGAGTTTCCTAAAATTATTTTCTGACCTTGCTCAAACTCATGATGGGTAGTAATTTTACTATATAAACTCTTTTCGAATATAATTATAAGATGCTCTAATCTTTCTTAATCGAATAATATAAAAAATGTACTTATTAACATTTCCATATAAATGAGTGGTTGGTTTCTATTGAGTATTTTTACGCAGAATAATGGAATTAAACTATTTAACTCTTCATTATAAAAATTATTTGTAATAAAAAGAAAAAAGAAAACAAAGAAAATGACAATTTATTTAACATAAGAAGAAAAAGAAAAGAAGAAGAAGAAGAAGGAAACAAGCCCTCTTTAGAAAGGTGCTTTTTCTATTTCTTATCGAATTTCCTTATATGTAAAAGAAATTTTGGTACAAATATTTGGCAAATAAGTTGTTTTGGCATGATGGATTGTGCTTTTCAAGATTCAGGGCAATTTTCAAGATAAGCTCCGAATATGGATAAAGTCCAGACAGATGAATAAATGATTTATAATCGAATTTTTATATAAAATTAAATAAATTATCAACTACTTTTAAGCATATAAAAAATTAATATAAAGACCAAGTATTAGTGTACACAAATCCAAGTAAAAGTAAGTTGCCCAATCGCCTATCTTACCCTTCTGTGGCGGTGGATTTGAATTTGACAAATATCTTGATCCGACCCATTCAAGAAGCGAGTCAGGTCAATGCTTTGGTTGGATCCGATTTGCATAATCGATACAGGTGGGCTGAAAATGGAGATGGGCCCGAATCAGAAGATAGAAAGGCGCACGTGTCAATCTAACAATCCGCCTCTTGAAAAGACCGTTTTCACGCTTTGACACGGGATAAGACTCGTAAAAAAGTGACACTAGGACTCAGAGGCGGTATTCGTTAACCTTCTAGTATTTTGTTACTATATATTTTTTATTTTAATTAGGGTTCACAATTTCTTTGTTATCAAACGCCTCTTCAAAGCCTCTAAAAACTTCTTCAAGCTACGCTCAAATCCTCTCTACGGCTGTCTGCTTTCCCCCTCTCAGCTCCGCTCTGCTTCGCGTCTCTCGATTCAGGTAAGCTTCCTACTTCGAAGCCCTTGACCTTCTCTTGAATCAATCATTTTTCTGAAAAATTGACTACTTGTTTCGATTTAGGGTTTGAGATTTGGATCGGTTTCTTGACAATAGGTTTTTTTACTCTTTGTTTTTCCCGTTTCTTCCTTCGATGATTGCGAACTTTGCATGTTTTCTTTTTCATGTCAATTAACTATCTCAAGAATGTCTAGTTTTTATTTTATTTTTTCAATTAAATCTCATTTGCAATTTGAAAGAATTGAGTTGTTTTCTGCTTTAAAAGCATTGCAATTGGTTATAATTTTGTTAGTATTATTTACTACTTTCTGTTTGGTTTATTCGTCTTTCTGATTTTAAGGACTTGGACTATATAACTCATCGAATATTGTACTTAAATTGAGATTTTATATATTCAGCGGTCTTTTCTTTTTTGACTAGTTTTAATAATTCAATATTTTGGAGAAGTTAAATGATACTATTTCATACGTTCCTTACTTTTGGAGCTTGGCTTGCATAGCCATTCTTTTGTTTCATTGATGAAGTCAACATGTGAGCGCGATTTAATAGTATAATGGATTGATGATTTATTTGTTGGTTTACAATGCAGTGGTATTTGTATATACGTTTTATGGTACTGATCTAGCATGTCCAACGATCTGGTATCTCAGCAATTAACGATACCTGGTAACCAAATGGCTCAGCTGGAACCCATTTCCAGCAAATTGGAAGCACCGATGTCCATGGGGTTGATGGGATTTGGAACCAGTGGATCTCTACAGCAGCAGATACCTTCGAGTATGCCTATAGGGCAGATGGGATCTGTGTCAAATGATCTTAGGTCGCAGTTATCATCAATGTCAAAACAGAAACCTGGACAGATTGAGTCCCAAACGTATTCTCAGCTATCACGGCAGTATTTAATGCCTAATAAGCCAGTAGGAGAAACGAGTCCCACCATGTTGGATACTCTGAGACCACATCAATTACCAACTTTGAGCAAGCGTAAGGCACCAATGGAACCAATTTCTACGGATTCTGTCCCACAGAAGTTACCAGTACCAAACAAACGAGTTGCACAAATGGAACACAGGCCTTGGTTGCAACCAATATCTGCACCTAGTAAAAGAACTGTACAGATGCAGTCTGTTTCCAACACGCCAGGATCACAGCCTTCTCCAGCATCGATTAAGAGATCAGTTCCAAATAAAACAGGGTCATCCGCTTCAAGGAATCAGCCTGGACAGATGAGGTCGTCTCCAAAAGTTCAGACTGAGTCATTTGAATCTGTGAGGTCCAAGATGCGGGAATCATTAGCTGCTGCCCTAGCCTTGGTATCTCAACAGCAAGGTGAAAACTCAAAGGTGGAGAAGAATTCTAATGGTGAAGCTGCAAGTTCCCCTGGGAAGACACAGGAGAGTACTAACCCTGTTGATTCTAATTCTGGTAATGCTGATGCTGTTGGCTCTATGTCTGCAGAACCTCAGGGGATATTGCTTTCCAGTCAGGATGGTGCTGGTGGTGGGAATATTAGTGACACTACAAAAACTTTGAAATGTGATGGGCAGCAATTTCAATCAAGCAATCTTTTGCCCAATGAGGATGTTCCATTTAGTGATAATATTTTTGCAAGAGATGAACTTTTGCAGGGAAATGGTCTTTCTTGGGTATTAGAACCTGTAATAGATGTGGCAGAGAACAAGGAAATTGAAACTTTTGGGAAACAAAACCCTGTTAATGAAAAGATAGGAGAAATTGCTGCAGAAAAATCAGTACAGTCTCCACAAGTTTTGGCATATCAAATTGAAGCAGAACTATTTAAATTATTTGGAGGTGTGAATAAAAAGTATAAGGAGAAGGGCAGGTCTTTATTGTTCAACTTAAAGGATCGTAATAACCCTGAACTCAGAGAAAGAGTTGTGTCAGGTGAAATTTCCCCAGAACGACTATGTTCTATGAGTGCTGAGGATCTAGCTTCTAAAGAGCTTTCTCAGTGGCGACAAGCAAAGGCAGAAGAGCTTGCTCAAATGGTAGTTTTGCCTGATACAGAAGTTGACATTAGACGATTAGTGAAAAAAACACATAAGGGCGAGTTTCAAGTGGAGGTTGAACAAACTGATAGTGCTTCAGTGGAAGTTTCTGCTGCTACTTCAATTAGTCGGCGACCAAAAACTGAGGCAAAACAAGGTCCTACAACTGGTAAAACTGTTGGAAAGAAAAATGGATCAGGTACTGCAGGTGAAAAGAGTAATATAGAGGACCCTGATCTTACCATTACCATTCCTTCAAGCGAAGGGCCTGATCCAATGCAAGGGTTGATGGGAGAAGATGAATTGAAGGATGCAGATTTTCTTCCTCCCATTGTTTCCCTTGATGAGTTCATGCAATCTCTTGATTCAGAGCCACCGTTTGAGAATTTACCTAGTGATGCTCGGAAAGCAACATCCATTTGTGATAAGGATGACTCAGAAGCTGGGTCTGATTCAAAGTCTTCTGGTCGAGCTTCACAAGATCCTGTTGATACTATGCCAGATAAACTTGAAACTATTGATGCGAGCAACGTGAAGTCTGATGCAGATGTCAAGCCAAATGACATTCCTGCAAAAACAGGAACTACTGTTTCTGTAGCCACTTTGAAGGGTGAACATGTCTGGGAAGGGTTGCTCCAGCTGAATATCACAGCCATGACCTCTGTCATTGGTACTTTTAAAAGGTATGTTTTACAAGATTGCATGCTATGCAAGGATATATTGTTTTTACCTTTTTTTTTTCTCCCTGAACATAATTTGTTGTTGGTCCTTTTTTGGCCTGCATCTGTTGGTATCTGTCTCAGTTTGTCTGCTATAGATCATGATGCTTCTTTTTTCTTTTCTGTATATTGTTAGTACAAGCACATGTTTGTTTATTTATGATCATGTGATTTATTGATGAGCGGAGGCAGACAATGCTTAAGTTTAAATTTCTATTAACTCCAAACTTTGATGATGGTGATTTTTTCCTCTAAATCTTGTGGGCCTGGTGGGTGTCTTTTGCATTTTGTGCTTGCTTTATAGATAGGATTGAATTTGGGAAAGTTGTGGAGTTGAAACATCATAAAACTTTCTTGGTTTTTTAATGTTAAAACCATGACTAGGATATGGATATGATAGATTTTAAAGCTTATTTCTACTTGCAAGTCAAGTATTTTGAGGACATCGTCAAGGTAAGTTCGTTGTGAAGTGAGGATGAGCTCGTTGGAGTGCCATTATTTGTAGGCAGCACGGAGAGGCACATGAATATTGGAGGTAGATAAATGGCATGACTTGAAGCATGGAGGAAAATGATCTATAAGTTGTTTGGTTTAAGGAAAATCTGTAGAACGAACAGGGAAAGGCCTTTGGATGTGATAAGAAACTATAATGTGCTTTATTGAAGAGGGAGATTCCTTATAGGTTTAAAGAAATAGGTGGAAGACAGAATATTTTGGTTGATGTGAATACCACCTTGCTGTGTTCAAATTTTTTTTTTTTCCTGATGGATGGTTTGCTTTTGATTGAGGTGCTGAGTATTGTGATTTTCATTGAATGTTTTGCAATGTTTGGGAACATGGATTTGAGACAGCAGCTTTGGAGTTTTGTGAAGATGAAATCATGAATGCACACACTATATAGAAATTAGTTAAAATTCAGTGTTGCTATGTATTTGAATGAGTAGATGAACTTAAAATTCATAAATTTATCACTAAATATGGATTGAACAAATTCATGAATTTGAAAATAATGATGAAAGTTATGTTTACATGTGTGTCATCACATAATAATTTTAAATTTGAAATCAAAATTCTTTCTTTCAAATTCAAGTTGTCAAACCCAACTTTCATGTTCTGTGAAAGGAAATAAATCTGTTTTAAGGTTCATGGTGTGTATTAATGATCCAAAATTTCATGGTGCAGTGGTGAAAAAACTTGTACAAAGGAGTGGCCTAGCTTGCTAGAAATCAAGGGCAGAGTCAGACTTGATGCATTTGAGAAGTTCCTCCAAGAGCTTCCCATGTCCCGGAGTCGTGCTGTAATGGTATCTCAAGTTCATTTACATTGTAGTAAATTCCTGTACTGCCATAAAAGAAAAATTGGGGGAAAAATAACAACTTTTTTATCCCAGTTTATGTCTTCCATTTATCTCTTTTTGCTGATTGTGGGGTCAATCCCATTTAATAAGTCAGGGGCAAACAAGAAGAGACAAAAGGGATGCAACTTGATTAAGATTCTTAGTTTGAGTAAACATGAAAGATTGATCACCTCATCTGCGATTTCCCGCTGGGTGGACTAAGTAGGAATGAAAAGTTTGGAGGATGATGATACATCTGATTGGCGTTACATGTAAAAATTGTGCTGTTTCTATGAGTACTTGTAGGGTGCTGAATAACTGGAAACAAACTCTGCCCAATGAAAAGAATGTCAAATGTTGCCAATATATCCTGATTAATCACCCAGGGAAAGAACGAGGACGTCAAATGTTATGTAAACTCGAAACATAATAATAATCTGTGTAAATATTTGAGTGCCCCTCGGCGAATAGGTCAATCTATTTGGATAAGGGAAAGTGGTATTTTTTTTTCTTAAATTTTTAAATTTTTAGGGTGGGGGTAAAAAAATTTATGGTTCAGTTCCCTGTATATTTGTTAAAACTACCATTTTAGAGCGTAAGTTATACGTTAGACTGATGTAATTCTTATATATATATATATATATTTATATATATATTTTTTGCAGGTGGTTCATTTTGTTTGCAAGGAGGGATCAGCCGACAGTGAGCGTGGGAGCCTGGTTGAGGTAAGAAACGTTGGGAAACTTTCTAGTTAGATTGACTCTTGTTTGGTTATCGTCTGATAGTGGACTTACATGCGCTTGTGCAGGCGGCTGATTCGTATATTTTGGATGGGAGAGTGGGTTTTGCTGAGCCTGCCTCTGGAGTGGAACTTTATTTTTGTCCACCTCATGCCAAAACACATGAAATGCTCAGCAAGATCCTCCCGAAGGACCAACTTGAGGCTCTTAATGCTATTGACAATGGTCTAATTGGAGTTGTTGTATGGAGAAGAGCTCAATTAATATCACCCAACTCAACTTCACACCATAAACACACCTCAAAAAAGCAACACCTCACTTCTAGGAGACAGCAAGAAAAGGATGCTAACATGAATACTAATTTTCCATCAAAGCCTACTCTTTCCCATGGTGGACCTCCTATCTATTCCAAACCCTCTCTTGATGACAACGACGATGATGATGTTCCCCCTGGATTTGGTCCTGCCACTACTCGGGATGAAGATGACTTACCTGAGTTTAATTTCTCTGGTGGCTCAAACCCATCGGGGCCTCAATACCCCACTGGGTACCAATCCCAACGAGTGGGGATAGTCTCGGCTCATTCACATTCTCAAACATCGTCTCGTCCTGTTGATCAAATGAGGGAGCTCGTACAAAAGTATGGGCAACCAAATACGAATGCGTCCCTAGGAGTTTCAATGCAACCGTGGAATGATGATGATGATGACATACCCGAATGGCAGCCTCAAATATCCCAACAACAGCAGCTGCAGCAACCAACCCAAGTTCATAGATTTCAACAGCCAATGCATGTGCCCCAGCAATTACCCCACCAGACGTTGTCGACCATGCATGTGCAAGGTCAACAGAACACAACTCAGTCGTGGCAGCAGGGAACTTGGTGGGTTCCTACGTCTGGCTCTCAAGGCCAACAATTTGTCAATGGAGCTCAATTTTACGGGGCAGCAGTAGGAACTGGGCAGCCTGCCTGGCGAAAGGATCCTCCACACAGTAGAGGCTTTTAGTTTCGTCTTTTGTACATGCAATGTGATTGTTGCTGTTTTATTTAGCTGTCCTCTAGGTTTTTTGTAACCTTGCATGTTTGCATTACAATAGTAGTTTCTTAAAGCAAACTTCAGAATTTGTGTTCTTCTCAGGCAACGGCCAACGTGGGCTTTAACCGAACCACGTTTTAAAGCGGACATGGCTACCACAATTCAACTAAGATTTTCACAACATTTCCTTGAAACTATTTTGCACGCTGATTCGGATTTTTGGACGTGGGTTCGTCTTAACCGGACCATCTGTAACACGTCGGTGGACTCGTGTTAAGCACTGAAAAGTAGACACCAAAAAGGCTCTTTGACATGCATTGCCATTGCTGCTATTCCATTCCATTTCTTTCTGTCCCAAGCAGAAAAAAAAAAAAGGTAGAAGAAAATCCGATTTCAGGTCTCTTGCGTTCGCACATAAACATGTCTTTGCTTTTACTTTTGATCCTCGTAACAGAGGAGGGCAGCAGCACCGTCAAGACTGCCTTTACTCCTTTACATCAGAGGAAAGTATGATTTCTTTAAACTGTTTGCACATCGTTTCAGTGGCTTATCTGTTTACTTATACCACTACTACAGTAGGATGAAGTTCTTCCAGTTATTCAATTTATACCTTTTGATTTTAGCTGTTAGAGGAGGTTCAACTCTCATAAGTTATGAATTATGAAAATAAAAAGGAAAAAAATTCATATTCAAACATGGAATTGATCAGGCTTGTGGAAGAAATCCGTATATTATCACT